AACCAAAATGGCCTCAGGCCAGAGGAAAAGAAAATATCAACAATTAGAGATTGGCCACAACCTAAGTCTGTGACCGAGTTACGATCTTTTCTTGGCTTAGCAAGCTACTATAGGAAGTTTGTCAGGAACTTCTCATTGATCGCTACACCAACGAGAAGATTGTTAAAGAAAGGAACTATCTGGTTGTGGGACAAGGATTGTGAGTCTTCATTCAAGAAGGTAAAGTATGTATTGACTCACTACCCTGTTCTGAAAATTGTTGATCCGTCTCTTCCCTTTATCGTTACTACTGAGGCAAGTCAGTATGGGATTGGCGTAGTCCTCCAACAGAACGACGACAATGGTTACATACCAATTGAGTTTATGTCCGCACGATTGCCATAAAAAAAGGTCGCCAACTCCACGTATGAAAGGGAATTGTATGCTTTAGTCTGCGCACTGGACACATGGAAACACTACTTGTTAGGGAGACACTTCACTGTGTACTCAGACCACTCGACACTCAAGTGGATAAAGACACAGCCTAGACTCTCTGATAAGCTAGTACGATGGTCTGCATTCATTGACACTTTTGATTTTGAGTTAAAAATGATCAAAGGAAAGTTTAATGTGGTTGCAGATGCATTGTCTAGAAGATGTGATTTCTTTGGTGTTATTGTCTCTTACCTAGATGTTGGGAATGATTTGAAAGATAAAATTCGTCAAGGATATACCAATGACCCTATATGGAAACCTATTATGGATTTCCTTGTAAAAGACCCAACTCCACTTCCCAACTATAAGGTAACCGATGGTTTGCTTTTCTTGTTAGACCAAACTGAACAGAGATTGTGTATTCCTCACCAGGAAGAAATTATAAAAGTCTGCTTATTGGGGAATGTCACGACGCTGAAGGTCATTTTGGTTTCAAGAAAACTAATGCTGAGGTTAGAGAACGCTTTGAGTGGAAGAGATTGAAAGAAGACGTACTAACTTATGTTCGTACATGTCTTGTGTGTCAGAGAAACAAACCCTCACATGAGAATCCACTTGGTCTTCTGAAACCATTACCGATTCCAAACGAACCAGATGAGTCTATCTCGATTGATTTCAGGAGCCTCACCAAAAGTCGGAATGACAATAGTCAAATAATGGTTATTGTGGATCGTTTCTCTAAGTATGCTATGTTTATTCCCTTACCCACAGAAGCACGAAATGAACTTGTGATCCAAAAGTTTCAGATGCGATGGGCGACTGAGTATGGTTTCCCTCTCTCCATTGTATCTAACCGTGATACCAGGTTCACGAGTATGCCATGGCAAAAGCTGATGGAAGCATACGTTACACGTTTGACCATGTCGTCAGGATGACACTCTGAAACGAATGGACAAAGTGAACAGATGAACCGTTTGTGCCAGCAACTTTTGCGCATGTATGTGAGACCCGATCATATTGATTGGGATGAGAACTTACCCAAAATAGCAAGTGCATACAATAGTAGTATCCATACCGCTACAGGGCGAACACCGTATGCATTGCATAAGGGGTGGAAACCTAAGCGTCCCATTGATGTGCTGACAAGGGATCAATTTCTTAGGTTACCTCAAAGGACCCGGGAATATGCAGTATTGTTTCAATAAGACATTAAGAAAGCAAAGGATAATCTAAAGAAAGCTCATGACCGGATGATTGAACAAGCTAATAAGCACTGTCGGCCATCGACATTCCAGGTATGTGATCTTGTTTGGGTGAAGTCCAAAGAGTTTTCACTAGAAGAAGATGTGTCTCAGAAACTACTGTCTGTCTATTTTGGACCCTGGGAAGTTCTTAAAGTAATTGGGGATGCAGAGGGACCGTCTTACCGAATTGATATTCCCCCTCATCTCAAAACATATCCTGTCTTTCACGCGTCCAAATCGCTACCTTATGTAGAAGGAAATACGTTCCCACATAGACCGTCTATGATTCCGCTAGCGTGTACGATACTAGTCCCGACACACCACCACATCGTGCACAATGATGTACAGCGGCTTTCAACAGTTGCAACGGGCTGGAACAGTTAGCACGAGGGGCAGCAAGCGTCCTTACTCTCACTGTTCTGCCAAGACCCCCGATGTTGAGCTGCCCCTTGATTGCAGTTTCCACTTGTACAGGCTTGGTACACCACAACAGTCCAGGCCCGATTTACCTACAGTCTGCAGCTCATCTTCCAGTCTATCCTAAACTGTTAGCTTACTAGGTAAGAGTCTTCCTCCCTGTCTGTTCACCATTTCTCATACCCGCTACTACCCCTGGCTCACAAGTGCATACGACTGCAGACTAAACTAGGTTCACCCGAAGTCCGGGTGACAAAACCCACGAATCAGGAGGGATCATGAGGAGTCCGCTGCAGCTTAAAGCCAATGCACAAAGCGCTGCCACCAACATCGACGGCTTGCATACWCCAGGTRCGTTTTCTTCCCGTCGGYTTTCCCTATGTCATCCTTTCATTCTCGCTGTACTCAATCTCTTTCTTCTTCCGTTTCTAACAGTCCGTTCGAATCATAATCGGCCTCTCCGTTTAAAGGGTGGAAGCACACTCTGCCCTCCAACTATATGCTCATAGAGGGGCGACTACTCTGTCAAAAGGGGTGAGCAAAAACCGAATGAACCTTCCACCAGAACGTGGAAAGATACATCGCCCCTCTTCTTGGGCGCARCCTTTAGTCGTGCCCCTGCCCAAACAACTAATCCATGGGCAAGGCCGACATTGTCATCACGCTCGGATCGCCTGAAACCCCCAACATGACACTTTACTTCGTTCGTTTCTGCAAAGAATCGGGCGAAATAACGAATTTCTCTCCCGCTATACCCGTTCTTCTCTCACACCTCCGCTCAGTCCTTTCTCTTTCTATCTTCTATTCTACTAACTATCTCCTAAAACTRACTCCATGATCCTACTCGCCCGGCCCCAGAACCCCGGTTTCGACCCTCGACTCAACGGAATCGGTCATGATATGACCGAGGTAACAATTCTCTCTTTCTCTTACTCCTCCCTCCGCCATAGCTCATCGCACTGAATTTCTTTACTAACTTCTACTTTACTAATTTTCGTCCTTTCCTGCCGACGGATTCGGGTTCGCGGGGTCTAAAAACCCCTGTCTAACACTTTGTACCGCCCGATTTCATTGAGAGACGGGCGGGCTACAGAGCTTTAACCCCGCCATAGCTCACCGTAGCTCTCCCCCCGCCTCGCACGCACCTGGACGTGGCTCCCGTGCGGGTTCGCTCAGCCCCCTTTTGCTGCCTTGCCGTCCGTTCTTCCTGCGCTGTCGGCCCGTCCCCCGTTCAGCTCGCAATGCTCCGCCCTTCCGCTCGCCGCTGCGCAGCGCTGCCCGTTGCTCTGTCTTTCACTCTCTATGCAGTGCTCGCTTCTCCTTTGCTGCGCCCTGCCTGCCTCTCTGCCATCGCTCTTCCCACCGTGAATGTACCTGACAGGGCCCACGTCTAGGTTCAACCACTCTTATTCGTCACCCCGCCAATCTCGTCTCCCTCGCCATGCCTACCTGCTATCTATCCTGTATGTAGCTAGCGCGTCTGTCACAAAATTGTCTCCTGACTCCCGCTACTCCTCTTATCCATCTGCAGCCTCTGCCCCCTTAGCGCCCAGCATGCATCTCACGCTAGCTCGCTCACACTGGCCCACGGTATCTCCGCCCTCGCCGCGCACGCACCGGCTCCGGGTCCCACCCCGATTCGACCCCACTGCGCTTCAGTCTCACAAGCGGGGAGCAGGACTACCCTTTTTGCCTCCGCTACCCAGTGGGGACCTGCGAAACACTGCCATTGAGCGGTTCGCCTGGCCTCTTAGCAGAAGAATAAGAACCCCGGCCGTCGGCCCTCGCTCTCACTTCATATGTGTTATCCTTGCGCAGAGGCCATGCTATTCTTCTCTGTATCGTTCCAATTTTAATGGATGTCCCGAGGGACTTAGGCTGGCCCGCGCCCCACGGTTACTCAGAGCCTGGTCGGCCTAGGCAAACCAGAATATCTGGTTTCACTCGTCAATTCCATCATCTGAATTCGAACACAGGTCTGCATTCCAACAGCTCAGGGGTATACCCACTGAGCTAGGCTCTTGGGTGCGAGCCGCACCCCAGGGCAAAACGTGGCGCGGCTCCAGTCCGGTCACGAAAACAGTTTGTAATTGCACTTCAGGCAACCGCGCGAATACAACACACCCCCACACGCTCCTACCGCAGTCCCGCGTCCTCGAGACGCGACAGATAAACAGATAAAGGAGATAAAGATAAAATAGCAGCAGTGTCGAGGAATAACGGGGCTGCTGGCGCCTCGCCAGCTCCGCGGGTCGGGCCCGCCACCGCGCCCGCCAACAAAACCGAGGGGGATAGCCCTGGCGGCCCTCAACCCCATCGGTTCCTTTTCTCGACGCTCTGCCGCAGTTGCTGCGCCAACGCCCGCTGATCTCGATCCCCGAACCTCCGTAGTAGTAGTCCGATGCCGTAACCTATAGGGCTAAACCCAAGCCTGGTGTCGGCAGGCTCGAATTTCTAGATAAAGCGGTAGCGCCTGGTGCTCCGGGCCCAGGAATCGCCCTGGGCCACTCTTCGGCCTGCCCCTGCACGCAAGGTCGCCGAAAGCCGCCGGCCTACCATCCGTGCCGCGGCTATCCCTGCGCGCCATCCTACCCCGCCCCATTTACCGCGCAAGGTCGTATCGCCGCTGTCCATGCCGTCGTCCGGTCAGACGTACCAATCAACAGAAAGTATCTCAAAATCGTGCTTAATCAAAAATAAATAAATATTAATAATATCATTAAACAGAACGACCGATGTTCGCGCCGAATTTATGATCAACAACAGAAAAGAATCACGCGCGCCTCAAACTTGGGCGCCCACGCACTCTCTATTGTAGTCAACCACCCAGTCAATGGAATAACAGACCCAGTCGCGCCTAGCGCGGTATACCTAGATTTTAAACCGAACTATTTTTTTGTCGCTTGCAAAAACCAGGGCGGATACCCTGTAAGGGTATTCGCACCGACACCGTCTCCCTACACTCCCCAAGACGACGACCTGCACTCGAACCGGCGGACAGGGGAGACGGAGACTGCATCCACTGGGGGCGAGCAGAGGCACCCCCACACACAGACGGCGACCGAAATTGCTGCCTAGGAGGATCCTTGTTGTTCCCCGAAGCCTCCCGCAGCGGCGCTGGAGACCTGGGTGATCGCTGAACAGCCGTCACGTCGCCGCCATCGTCGTCGGGATGGGGGTTTACGACGACCGTTCGAGAGACGGCTGCCGACCTCCCGCTGCCGAGTCCAAACGACAGATTCACGCCGCCATCGCCATCGGTGTCGCTTAGCCCCTGCTGGAGGAGCTCGGTGTACGACTGCCCTTTACCACCGTTGCGGCTTCCAAACAGCTCTGTAGCCGCCCACTCCTGGGTGGATCCGCTTCCCAGCGGCACGGTCCGTGACCGTCTATCGTCCCCTTCCTCGTCGTCCGTGTCAGGCAGAGGTTGCAAGTGCGGTGGCAGGTGCGCGTGCCCGGACCGCTCCGACGGCCTTCGACTATTCGACGGGCTGTGCTCGGACCACCGCCCACCGCGCTCCCCTGCGGACCCGCTGATCGCCTTCCGGCCCTCCATTCTGTCGTTGTTCTTCACACACCTCCTTCTGCGACCACGTCGCGGAAGGCCGCCGAGGATGCACACGTGGAAGACAACCAGGAGGAGGAGCAATAGGACGACCAGCAGCAGCAGCGGCAGCCTCCGAAACAGGTCGGCCATGAAAAGCACGTGGATGACAGGGACAGCGGGGGATCTATCACGTAACGGCGACAGACACTGCTGCAAACGCCTGACCGCAACAAACGACAAAAGCACGGTAACGCATTCCGTTTGTGAACACAATGCACAATCGCCCGGTCGGGGGACGGTTCAAATATTCGAGTCTTGCGACCGTTGGGCGCCTTCCCGCTCGGGGACAAGGGCGGCGACGCAAGAAAGCCGCTTTTCGACGTCGGGGAAGCGACCGGGCCGCAAAACGGGACCGTTGGCGCACTCTTCCATGACGCCGACGGTTGCCGATCGAAGATGTCCGTCCACGGACGCCAGGAACAACAGTGGTACAGACGGCCGTCGCAAAATGTCGTGGAGAGAGCTGCCGCCAACGTCCCGATTCTTCCGGATGCTCGACCTCGGAGGGACCTCGGGAGGTCCCTTGGGGAACGCGTCGAAATGGCTGTGGCCCGAGGAATCCCCGAGGAATCCCCGAGGAATCCCCGAGGAAATGTTTTCACATTTTTTTTTCAATTTCTTCCCCGAGGATAAGTGGAACGATCATTTCCTCGGGGGATTTACGCACCCGAGGAGTGTGGAACGAGCCCCATAATAGCCGTTTCGTGTTTTTTCTGCCTTTTTTAACTCACATAGTGACATGATAGCCGTTTCGTGTCTTTTCTGCCTTTTGGAACTCAAATAGTGACATAATCAAAGTTCCTGTTTCTAAAATAAAATATCCCCCAAATACAACGTACCTTCATTATAGCGGAATTTGGGGTATCTTTCAGTCCAAATACAGCTATAATGACCATACTTTGCATTTGGGGGAAGAAGGTAGCAAGTATATTAGTCCCCCCGTAGGCCACAAATACACCTGGAAAGTTGCAGAAATACCGTTTTCACAAAGTTTCGAAGCAGATTTACGGGGCGACTCCACCTTTTGTGAGAAATTGTGACAGAGGCCCTGTCGGCCTGGCCTGAGAGGCAGGCGGGTCCTCTGTTTCAAATTTGAGCACGCAGACGACCAATCGGTCCTACCTCATAGTTTATATTGCTAGGCTACCAGCCGGGCCGCCCGGGCCCCGGGTGGCCAGCCCGTGCAAGGACCAGGGAAGGTGCCAGTAAAAAAATAAAAAAATAAAAGAAATAAAAAAAATCCAAAAAACAACTATGTTATGCAGAAAAATAAACTGAACAACTTTTGCCTCAGGGTCACATCCAAATTCTTCACCAAATTTAGAATAAAAATTGAAGTTCTTTGGTGAAGAATTTCGATGTGACCCTGAGGCAAAAGTTGTTCAGTTTATTTTTCTGCATAACATAGTTTTTTTTTGGATTTTTTTGATTTCTTTTATTTTTTGGGAAAATTTGTCTGGCGCCCCTGTAATTTGCGTTATTTTCTGTCGCGCCCCTCCGACGGCCGATTTACCCTGTCGCGCCCCTGGGCCAAAAAATATTTTCTGCAGGCCCTTGTCGGTAGTGACCACAACTTTCCAGGACGCCCTCCTTGGACTGACCGTCCGGCCCTGTGCCATATGCCCTCATGACGGGCAGCCATCTTTCTGCAATGCCACCGCAGCTGTGAGGCACCACAAATTCACATTTCCATCAGGCCCTGTGCCATATCGTCCGCTTCCCTGCAAGTGTGTGTGTGTGAGAGAGAGAGAGAGAGAGAGAGAGAGAGAGAGAGAGA